TTGGAAGTCAGAGGAGCACCAATCAATACTTGAACACTCAATTTTTTGAAGTTTTGGGCAAAAACCATTGATTTTGTGAGAAGTATATTAACATTTTTGATTGATTTCACCCCACATTTTCATCCAAATTTTCTTTTAAAAAGCCACATATTTCTACAAATGGAATTGGAATGTGTTCAGGGGTCCTTTAGGCATCTTTCCAGCAAGTTTCAAGCAATTTTATTTTTTGGCCAAAATTGAAAAAATTGCAAGGGGTTAGCCTTACTTTTTTATCAAAATTTGGCCAAAAATTGGCTTTTCTTCAAACAATGCAGCAATTCCTTTGGAAGTCAGAGGAGCACCAATTAATACTCGAACACTCAATATTTTGAAGTTTTGGGCAAAAAAACATCGATTTTGTGAGAAACAAATTAATATTTCTGACTGATTTTATACCATATTTTCATCCAAATTTTCTTTTACAAAGCAAATCTTTTTACAAATGGAATTGGAATGTGTTCTAGGGTCCCTTAAGCATCTTTCCAGCAAGTTTCAAGCAAATTTATTTTTATGGCCAAAATTGAAAAAATTGCAAGGGGTTAGCCTTACTTTTTTATCAAAATTTTGCCAAAAAATAGCTTTTCTGCAAACAATGCAGAAATTCCTTTGGAAGTCAGAGGAGCACAAATCAATACTCGAACACTCAATATTGTGAAGTTTTGGGCAAAAACCATCGATTTGGTGAGAAATAAATTAACATTTTTGACTGATTTTACCCCATATTTTCATCCAATTTTTCTTTTAAAAAGCAAATCTTTTCACAAATGGAATTGGAATGTGTTCTAGGGTCCCTTAAGCATCTTTCCAGCAAGTTTCAAGTAATTTTATTTTTTGGCCAAAATTGAAAAAATTGCAAGGGGTTAGCCTTACTTTTTTATCAAAATTTGGCCAAAAATTGGCTTTTTTTTCAAACAATGCAGAAATTCCTTTGGAAATCAGAGGAGCACCAATCAATACTCGAACACTCAATTTTTTGAAGCTTTGGGCAAAAACCGTCCTTTTTGTGAGAAATAAATTAACATTTTTGACTGATTTTACCCCACATTTTCATCCAAATTTTCTTTTAAAAAGCATATATTTCTACAAATGGAATTGGAATGTGTTCTAGGGTCCCTTAGGCATCTTTTCAGCAAGTTTCAAGCAATTTTATTTTTTGGCCAAAATTGAAAAAATTGCAAGGGGTTAGCCTTACTTTTTTATCAAAATTTGGCCAAAAATTGGCTTTTCTTCAAACAATGCAGCAATTCCTTTGGAAGTCAGAGGAGCACTAATCAATACTCAAACACTCGATATTTTGAAGTTTTGGGCAAAAACCATTGATTTTGTGAGAAGTATATTAAAATTTTTGATTGATTTCACCCCACATTTTCATCCAAATTTTCTTTTAAAAAGCCACATATTTCTACAAATGGAATTGGAATGTGTTCTAGGGTCCTTTAGGCATCTTTCCAGCAAGTTTCAAGCAATTTTATTTTTTGGCCAAAATTGAAAAAATTGCAAGGGGTTAGCCTTACATTTTTATCAAAATTTGGCCAAAAATTGGCTTTTCTTCAAACAATGTAGAAATTCCTTTGGAAGTCAGAGGAGCACCAATTAATACTCGAACACTCAATATTTTGAAGTTTTGGGCAAAAAAACATCGATTTTGTGAGAAACAAATTAATATTTTTGAATGATTTTATCCCATATTTTCATCCAAATTTTCTTTTACAAAGCAAATCTTTTTACAAATGGAATTGGAATGTGTTCTAGGGTCCCTTAGGCATCTTTCCAGCAAGTTTTAAGTAATTTTATTTTTTGGCCAAAATTGAAAAAATTGCAAGGGGTTAGCCTTACTTTTTTATCAAAATTTGGCCAAAAATTAGCTTTTTTTTCAAACAATGCAGAAATTCCTTTGGAAGTCAGAGGAGCACCAATCAATACTCGAACACTCAATATTTTGAAGTTTTGGGCAAAAACCATTGATTTTGTGAGAAATAAATTAACATTTTTGACTGATTTTACCCCACATTTTCATCCAAATTTTCTTTTAAAAAGCATATCTTTCTACAAATGCAATTGGAATATGTTCTAGGGTCACTTAGGCATCTTTCCAGAAAGTTCAAGCAATTTTATTTTTTGGCCAAAATTGAAAAAAATGCAAGGGGTTAGCCTGACTTTTTTATCAAAATTTGGCCAAAAAATGGCTTTTTCTTCAAACAATGCAGAAATTCCTTTGGAAGTCAGAGGAGCACCAATCAATACTCGAACACTCAATATTTTGAAGTTTTGGGCAAAAACCGTCCTTTTTGTGAGAAATAAATTAACATTTTTGACTGATTTTACCCCACATTTTCATCCAAATTTTCTTTTAAAAAGCATATATTTCTACAAATGGAATTGTAATATGTTCTAGGTTCCCTTAGGCATCTTTCCAGCAAGTTTCAAGCAATTTTATTTTTTTGGCCAAAATTGAAAAAATTGCAAGGGGTTAGCCTTACTTTTTTATCAAAATTTGGCCAAAAATTGGCTTTTCTTCAAACAATGCAGAAATTCCTTTGGAAGTAAGTAGAGCACCAATCAATACTCGAACACTCAATATTTTGAAGGTTTGGGCAAAAACCGTCGATTTTGTGAGAAACAAATTAATATTTTTGAATGATTTTATCCCATATTTTCATCCAAATTTTCTTTTACAAAGCAAAATTTTTTTACAAATGGAATTGGAATGTGTTCTAGGGTCCTTTAGGCATCTTTCCAGCAAGTTTCAAGCAATTTAATTTTTAGGCCAAAATTGAAAAAAATTGCAAGGGGTTAGCCTTACTTTTTTATCAAAATTTGGCCAAAAATTGGCTTTTCTTCAAACAATGCAGAAATTCCTTTGGAAGTCAGTAGAGCACCAATTAATACTCGAACACTCAATATTTTGAAGTTTTGGGCAAAAAAAACATCGATTTTGTGAGAAACAAATTAATATTTTTGAATGATTTTATCCCATATTTTCATCCAAATTTTCTTTTACAAAGCAAATCTTTTTACAAATGGAATTGGAATGTGTTCTAGGGTCATTTAGGCATCTTTCCAGCAAGTTTCAAGCAATTTTATTTTTTGGCCAAAATTGAAAAAAATTGCAAGGGGGTTAGCCTTACTTTTTTATCAAAATTTGGCCAAAAATTGGCTTTTCTTCAAACAATGCAGAAATTCCTTTGGAAGTCAGTAGAGCACAAATCAATACTCGAACACTCAATATTTTGAAGGTTTGGGCAAAAACCGTCGATTTTGTGAGAAATAAATTAACATTTTTGACTGATTTTACCCCACATTTTCATCCAAATTTTCTTTTAAATAGCATATCTTTCTACAAATGGAATTGGAATGTGTTCTAGGGTCCATTAGGCATCTTTCCAGCAAGTTTCAAGCAATTTTATTTTTTGGCCTAAATTGAAAAAATTGCAAGGGGTTAGGCCAAAAAAAAAAATAAGTCGGTCTCTGGTCAGCGCGCGCATCGATTTTAATCATGCGCGTCGATCTTTTTGTTCCCAAAATGTTCCGTGGTAGCTCCAACAGCGCCCTCTATTTCCGCACCTCCTCAATTTTTTTTACCAAAGAGCACCAAGGAATGGGAAATTGCACCAAGGCAAATGATCGAAAGCACCAAGGCAAATTATGGAGGACACCAATATACATGAGGACACAAAAAAAGCAAAATAGTACCCACCTTGTCTGTACAATCCAAGCTTGAAGAAAAAAAAAAAAAAAGCGTGGCCGCGTCAATTCCGGAACTTTGGTCTGACCAGAGACCGAATATTTTTTTTTTTTGGCCTTAGCCTTACTTTTTTTATCAAAATTTGGCCAAAAGTTGACCTTTCTCCAAACAAGGCAGAAATTCCTTTGGATGCCCAAAAAATACCTTATACCTTTTTATCAACCAACCGACCCTACTTCAGATCCCATAAAATATGCCAACCATCAAAGTACAAAGGGACCATTTGCCTGTATGCAAAAAAAGTCTACATTTATTCTCTGTTTACATCGAGACAGAATGCAATATTAGCAAGTAACACGCAATTGAAACAAAATTACAGACTTCAAATTAATTTATTTTCTGTACAACAAGTGAAAGCAAATTGTTCTTGAGAAGTAATCCTATATGAACAATCATATTTCTGACTTTGGTTCTGGAGGTGTGCCCAACCCAATGTAAAAGACTGTCAGTTTAGGGGTACTACACCCATCCTGACAGATTCCTACAAAACATGCAGTTGGGGTTTGATGGGTTGAGTTCTGTTAGGGTTATTCTCGCCCCTCCCCCCCAAACAAAACCCTTGCATTTTGGTTCCGGCTATTTGGGACAAAAGCGAATGGCAATACACGCTACAGGCTTGAGACATTACGATGTCTCATTTTAATAACATAATGTGCCTGCTTTATAAGAGCTAGGTGGGGGTGACAGCCACCAAGCTCCCATAGGAAAGCACACAACAATAAACAAATGTTGACGTCACTGAATCTCTGGTCTACACATATCTGTACATCATTAAAGCAAACCAGTTTTCACTTTTTGTTCAACTGTACAATCATCATAAGAATTCACCAACTTATAAACTTTAACAGTTGGTGTGCACTTTTTCCCCATAACTTTTCAAAAACAATTTCTTAAAAATCGCTTCGGCAGTTTTCTTTGGATTGAAATGTCAACAACTGATAAAGTGCAAACTCCGCAAAGTTAAAACAGAAAAGACAAAAAGGACGATACCTTGGTAAAATGCCATGGTCCAGTGGTTACGGTGTTGGACTCATATACAATGGTGCGGGGGTTCGAACCCTGCCAGGAACACGGTATTTGTGCCCTTGGGCAAGACACTTTACTACAATTGCCTCTCTCCACCCAGGAGTATGAATGGGTACCTGTGAGGGTAGAGGACCGATTGAGCGCTGATATCGGCTGCCGCGTGGTCCCATGGCCTGATGAACGGGGGAATAATTGTAAAGCGCTTTGAGATTATTGATATGATGGAAAGCGCTATACATGTATAAAAATTACAAGTTAAGCATCACAATTAAAATTCAAATAACATGTACATATATGATAATTACCACACAATCAACAACTTTCATGATAGCTACATTTTAAAATAATAGGGAAATAAATTTTTTTAAACCAATTTTTTTCACTTATGGGTTCACAAGTGATGAAATATCTTACTCCGAGTGGGCATAATCATGTTAAGCGGATGCAAGACAAGACTGGTAATGCTGGTCTTGTAGTGCATAACTTTTGTTCAACCCATTCAGAATGACTTTTCACTAGAAGTTCATGTATCTGGTCTACACAATGGCTGGCCTATTTGTTTGCATTACTTGGTAGTATCCTATACAATAGCACTGCCCGGCCCGCACGTCACAGTCAGTGGTCTGGGTTCAACGAGGACACGAAGCTGCCCTCTGGGTCCGGCAAAAAACAGCAGGTAAACGTAACCCTGCACACGGTTGACGCTTTAGTTGAAGGGCGCCCTCAAGTGTTCACAGATTCCTATCTTGGAAATTGATACAGTGTCCGTCATCATAAAGCCAGTGTGTCCCGTAGTAGTTTCCTCATCGTTGTTCCCACGGACGTGTTGGCCGGCCCCGAAGTCTGATGGGAAATCTGTGGGAAGAGCGAATATTAAAGGGATTATTGGCTCTATGTGCATGGTCCACAGAGGGCGCTGTTGCTAGACCATGGTAGCAAGTGCAGGAAGCTTGGTGGTCTGAAGACTGCATTAATATGGCCTTGTCTGATCGTGGCTACGACTGGACATTACATGAAGCCAATATAAGTGGCTGCAGCCACTTTCCATAGACACCTGTGTGTAATTTTAAGCCGTAGCCGGACATGGCTTACATCTTACTTGGATATAGTGTCAGAGAACAGCCGGCGCAACAATATCCTAATGACCTTACATGCAGGGTCATACATTATGAATATTCAAATATGCAAAAACATGACAACTGAGCACTGCCTTCTACCTGGGAATTAAGCCAAGCAGACTACAGGGAAGTCAAGGTGGGCAACCAATCAAATTTCAGGAGCCATGAGGGCACTGCCTGTCCTCAAATACAAAATGCAGTCAGTTCATGTCTCCGGTCTAAAGGAACTCTGCTGGGTCACCTATGGACTAGTCCGGCGAACAAAATTAGAAACCATTTTTGAGGTGGCGCCACATACGCGCTCACGCTGCACGCGTTTTGCATATTTTGGTATAACTATTGGTTGAAGGAGCCCGGAATGTGTTCGAACTACCTGTGCGGGACTCAGATTTCAAGGCATTTTTCTAAATTTCCAACAGCCAAAATGCATTACATAGCACTAAAAAAACAGAGGGGGAAAAAGTGCAAAACTTTAAATAGGCCGTTTTGCTGTAAGGTTAAGGCACGTAAGTATAAATAAGATGTAGATTTGTATCATGAACAGCGCCCCCTAGTGTAATGTGGTGTCCAACCCCCCACCCCCACCCCCGCTTTTTGAATTTCCACGGCCGGGCAATGTTTGAATTGTAGCCACCCCCCTCCCACTTGCCGACAAAGATTTACACCACTGCAATTGCGTGATTATGCCTGACAAGTGTGCAATAAAGTCCGAGAATTGTGCGCGCATAGGACACACGCTACTGGAGCATGCAGTGTTGCACTGGCCAGGTTGTCCACATGTTGTTGTCTGCGTGCCCAGTGGCCGGGGCTGAATGCATTGGTCTACTGCCAGGCAATTACAATAACAATGTCTAGCACCCAGACTCCACTGTACCTTGAAGAGGTAAGGCTGTACGTCAGGGAAGCTGACGTCAAAGACGGTGTCCAGCAGGGGTTGGTTGGGCACCTTGGGCAGGTAGTCGTGTCGTCCCATGGCCTCCGTGATGCAGATCACCTTCTCTCCCAGGATCTCCCCCAACTTCTCCCGGTAGAGCTGCCTCTCTGGAAAGAAAAAAAAAACAATCCAACAAACTGAATTTTTTTTTCCAGCCGAAAACTTCATATTGATAATGCACATGTCAATAATCCAGTTCGGTATCTCCATGAAGTAGTCCAGGTCAAAGGTCATTCGGGATAAAATCGCTGATGTGATGTTTCGCGATGTTACGGGAACGCCTATTCTGCTTGTTATTAACATGTGAGCGTGGTGCGTCCGTCTCCCTTCGATGCGCCTTCGATTATGAGCGTTCGATTTCCCGAGTGACCCATGACCCTATCATTGTGTGCATGCGCAGTTGCTTGTGACTGAAATTTTATTTTCAATTGAGAAAATCTAGTTTTGTCCTCACCATGCTCATTTGACAGTGTCACGTTGTTGATCTGGATGGTCCAAACCTCCCACGGTATGCTCTCATCGGGAAAGGGCCATCGATTCTTCTTCTTCTGGTAAAACTCCAAGGAAATCTGTGAAGGCAATGATTCCAACAAATACACGTAGAAATTATGCAACGTAAAAATTCTTCAGAAAGGAGGTTCAGTGGAATTTAAACCTCATACCGTAATCTTTGTTTTCTGTGGTTTCTAAGGGTTATGATAAAATAAGTAAGTTAAAGCCTGTCACACCGGCATTTATCTCCGGTTTTCTTGGCAAGAAACGACTGTTAAGTTGAGTATATTTCTATTCCCCCTGGATGGGATGCCAGTCCATTGCAGATTACTCCCTTGCTAATGCCGGTACCCATTTATACTCCTGGGTGGAGAGAGCCAAGTTGGGGTGAAGTGGCTTGCCCAAGGACACAACATACGACCAGCATCTGGATTTGAACCCCTGACCCTCTGATCATGAGTCACAAACCCTAACCACTTGGACAAAATCCCCCTTTCTGATGAAATGGACTCCTAATTAATACCACCAGACGATTAATTATCTGACTACTCCAAATTCTAGGAGCCCACGTTACCTACCTGCCCGTTGCTGAGCCGGCCGTCGCTCGACCGCAGCGAGTCCCGGAACGCGGTGACCTCTTTGCGCAGCACTCGGTCCAGCTCAGCCGAGTGGCAGCGCACGTAGGTGAAGTCGATGAAATCGCAGTCCACGTCCACCATGCCCACCGTGCCGATGGCGTAGGTGCCTTCCTGCTTGTAGTGGAACTGTTGACGAAAAAGAAAAGCAGACAAAGAAAGCGTTGTAACCACTGACGAACTAGCTCCCAGACCTATGTTCTTGAAAACTCAATGGTTCTTGAGTCTGGAGTGCTGAATGGTAACACATAGCAACCGATGAAAACTGGTGTGCCAATGAATAGATGTTTTCACTGGCTGACGTGATCACAATCACGCCTACTGTGAGAAGTCAACTGTAACATGGGTTGGAAGAGAAAGGGGCGGGGACTTGTCCAGCTGATGGGGGGGGGATTACCTTGCCAGTCGTCCTATGGAACAGCAGAGTATGTAGAAGACTCAGCACGACTTCCTCAATCTGCCTCCCTTCCACCGACTGCAATAAGAAAGGATCAAGATTAAGTAAAATATAAGAAAAAAAAGGAAGTTAGTCCTAGTAAAAACAAAAATCATACTCCTGTTTCCCACCTGCACCCTTTGTTTGTTTTTAATTTTCACATTTGCAATATATTTGCAAATTTGTCACTGACTGTTTTTTCATTTTTCCAACAAAATTGTAGCTATGTAGAAAGGGTGACGGCTCCTTTGGGCACAATTTTGTATCAGCGAAAGAGTCGAAGAAGATACAAGAATGCATCTGCCATCTTGGAAAATCTGCCATCTTAGGGGGGGGGGGGGAGGGGGAATGAGCCGCCTCCTTCATTTGTTTTAAAAAAAACCTGACCAGAAACCGATTTTGTTTTACTCAGCCTAAATAACAAATATCTCGTATCTCTTTGGACGTATCATACTTACAACTTCAAAAGTCTGTGATCGGGCATTCATGCTGCTTGCTTCATTGCTTCACTCAGTCGACTCAGATTTGGTTTCTGCTTTCTGCACCGAAAAAAAGACACCCAAACAAACAATGAAAAACGGAACGTACAAGTCAGTTGAGAGCGTGGTTGTTCTTGTTTCTCGAGCTGGCAAAATGGTCGAGTTGGCAAACAGTCAAGTTGGTTCGAATCAAGTCGGTAAATCATGGTCGAGTTGACTGGATGTATACTGAATGAAATATTTCCCCAATGAGCAATGAGTGTTAAAGAAAGTAGACACCACCATGACCAAACTGACTTTTGAAATAAACCACTGAAAACTATGAAAAACAGAAAACACAAAAAATACTGCAACCTAACACTACTTCAGTGGTTGTGTATAAAGTCTATGGAGAATCTAGAAAAACTTGTATTTCTTAACAAAATTGGAAATGTTCCTCAGTCCAGGATTCATGTCTTGCAATGAATGACCTTCATTGAGATGATATATGAAAAAAAAAGTGGCGTCAGGTTGCAACATTTTTTCCCATATTAAAGGGAAAATACAACATTTGCAAACATCAAAAAATAAAACTACCAAATCATTTTGAAATACCTTGCTGGACTGTTAGTGAATGACAGTGTAAAGCATCCTCTAAAATCATGGCACCTGGTATACTGTCATTTTCAAGAAAAGTGGTATTTTTGTATCATTTCCAACGCTGGTCGGCCGACCAGCGTTGGAAAAAACTGGCTTTTTTTCAAATACTGGCCCCAATTGACCATCACACTTGTTTGCAATCGATTACACACCTATGAACGGGTACAAGCCAGCTAGACTGGTTCCCTGACCTTACATTTCCCCAATGTATTATACTGCTCTGTTTCTTCTTATATGGAGTCAGGGAGCCAGACTACAGGAAAATGATTGTTTTTCTTGGTTTTTATAGCATTTTCGAACCCAAAACCTCAAAAAAGTCACTATATTTGCTATATATTTCCAACCCCCCAATTCCATCCATTTCTGGAAATGACAGCAAAAGCAAATGATGTACATTCCCTTTAATACATATGGGCTGGTTTTATTAATTTTTTGTGTGACACGTACAGGGCTTTACAACATTTGCAGACATCAAGAAACAAAACTACCTAATTATTATGAAATACCTTACTTGACTGTTAATGAATGACTGTCTAAAGCATCCTCTTAAATCATGGCACCTGCCTGATGTGCTGACACTGTCAAGAAAGTGGTATCTATGTATCAATTTCAAAGGCTGTTCGGCCGACCAGTCATGCCAGTGTTGGAAAAAACTGGCTTTTTTTCAAATACTGCCCACAATTTTCCACCATATGTAGTGAGTCCGCATTTTGTTTCCATTCAATTACACATTTATGATATGAACAGGTTAAAGCCAGCTAGACTGGTTCCCTGACGTTATAATTTCCTGACGTCTATAAATTGCTGTGTTTCATCTTAAGTGGGGCCAGGCCCAGGGGTACAAGGACATGATTATGATTTGTCATCATCTACGAGCACAAAATATCAAACAATTAAGTCAGTGTAACTAACAATATTTGCTATCAAATACTAATACTAACCCCCAAATACAGCCATTTCTGAAAATGACAACAAAAGCAAATGTTGTATATTCCCTTTAATCATTTATTTTGAACACGATACTGTAACATAAACAACAAAAAATTGAACAGTCCAACCCCATCGACTTTGCACACACACACAAAAATCCACTAGCTTTGTTGTTCCATAGACATGTTACATACAGTATAAAAAAACACCCATTATTACAGTTTTTTCTGTTCAAACTTACCATTTCTATACGCCTATTGCATCCCTGATACATTCAGATAACACAGTCATTACATTTTTCGAAAACGACTGTCTAATTTCCGAGATTTCGTCACAAATTTGCCACAAGAATCCGGCTGCGCCTGATCAAAACATTACTCAGTGAATGACATCTATTGAACTTTGACCCCTATACATATTCAACAGTAAACCTCACCGCAAGTTGACCCTGGGTCAAGGGTGAACCGCTGTATCGTAGCAACCAGTGTACAGATTGCCGTACGGTTTGCACGGAAAACGTCCCAAAAGTAAGGCTGTTTTCCTCCTAAATAGAAGGCTTCTTCACAAAACCTCTTGTCACTAAAAAGTTTAAAGCCTTGTTTTTTAGAAAAAGTTAGGAATTTAATATTTAGCAGCAACAAAAACGAGATCAACACCGCGAAAGTTGTTTCAAGTTTGAGGAATTCGACATTGACCGGAAAATGGCGACCACGCGTATTTCAGCGAGGCTTCCACCCAACATTGACCCGACCAAAGCGCCGCTCGCGTACGGGGACAGGGCATTGCCGAAGTTGGTAAGTAGACTTTAAGATTTGTAGCTCTATAACCATAAGTTCTGTCAAGTGTAAAAAAAAAAAAATACGCTAAACCCGTAACCCCCCCCCCCGCCCCCCCCCCCCCCCCTTTCCCCCCGTAGGAATTAGTTTAGACGAAATGAATTTTTTGGGCTAAATATCGGGATAATTTCAAAGTAAAATTTCATGCTGTAATTTGTGAGATTTAAAATGTCTGTTGTGCCGATTTGCCCATGTTAATTTACAGCTGTGAGCTTTTATAACTAGATAGATTTAAATTGATTGTGTTGTATTAATTTATGTTTTGTTTTAATTTGTTAAACAATAATAATTAGGCTACTGTTGATATTTGTGAACACTGTGGAAATAAATGAACTTAACAGAACTGAACTGAACAAAAACAAATAACCCATCAAAAGCAATCAAATGATTATAAAGAACTTTTCATTAACTTGTGAAATACACGAATCATTCCCCTGAAAAAAAAACCCTGAATATTTTTAGTGTTTTGGAATAGGAAATATCAATACATGAACTGTATAGCTGTGTTGTATGCAGTGTTGGAGCAAAGGCTTTGACCCTCAAGGCCAAGGCCAAGGCCAAGGCTTTGACCCTCAAGGCCAAGGCCAAGGCCAAGGCTTTGACCCTCAAGCCTCGAGGCCAAGGCCAAGGCTTAACCCTCAAGGCCAAGGCCAAGGCTAAGGCCCTGTTTTACGAAATGACCACTGATATAGAACTAATTATAGTCACATGAGTGACACATCATCACGCAAGGGCGGATCCAGAACACAATGTGGGGGGGGGGCAAAGAAATGTTGGTCCCCCCCCAAAAAAAAGGTGGGTCAAAAAATTACGGCTTGGGCTTCGGGGCCCGCTTAAGGGCTCCGAATAATTTTTGGATTCGAGATGTTCTGTGGTGCGATTTGAGGCAATTTCTGACCATTTTAACTGTTGTTTTTTTAGGAAAAGATGGTGGTGTACTCATTGCCTGCCTTTATTACGACGTCACATAAAAAAAATGGTTTCGTTGTTTTTTTTGGGGGGGGGGCGGGGGGGGGGGCATGGCCCCTTTTGGCCCCCCTGGATCTGCCCTTATCATCACGAATTGCTCGTTACGAAGAACAACATTTCTTTAATTGCAATCAACATGCTCGCATATGCCTACACCGTTTTATGACTGCACTGTATCTATTAAAGTATAAGTTCAGGTCTTCAATATGGTTTAACTAAACAAAATAATGATTTACTTCTATATTGACACACAATTCTCCCAAGTGTAACAAAAGGGGGATCCAAGAAACTAATTTGGGAAATTTTTATTTGCTGGCCCAGCATGCTCAGAAATATCAGCATTATCTAAAACAGATACATGTAAATCTTTAGCACTTATCAGGGAGACATACATGTAGGCCTATACAACCAATCAGATCTATTCCATAGTTATATGCAATTAAAGTGATCATCTCATTAGCCCCACAAGTGTACGGAATATTGTTGCATCAAATCTACTACAATGGTAACAAAATGTGATGCTACAAAAGTGGAAGTGTGCCCAACACACAAATCTATAGGGTGCTTCCCTCCTCCATGGTAATATGAATAAAATGGTAACAGCAAAATTTCGAACAGATTTATCTGGAAAATGCAAAAATCTATGGGCCTTAAAGAGCCTTGACTCAAAATTGCAAGGCCCTGAACCCTCAAGGCCAAGGCCAAGGCCAAGGCTTTTGCCCTCAAGCCTCGAGGCCAAGGCCAAGGCCCTAAAATCCAGCCTTAAGGCAGCCTTAAGGCCAAGGCTTAGCATCAAGGCACTACATCACTGGTTGTATGTGTATGCAAAGCAAATCATTTTTCAATTTTTAATTTTATTGACAATTTATTTCGTTTTCATGTTTTTTATTTTTCAGAACCGAGAACTGAACGATAAAGAGCTTATCACAAGACAACGGGCGTTGATGACACTGTGTGACTACCTGCACGACCCAGAACACATTGCAGAAGCACTCAGAGTCGGTAAGTTGTTCATCAAAATTCTTATTCCTGAAATATTTTTATGTGGAGAATTAGAAAGCAGAGGGAAGAAATGTAAAAATATGAGAGTTATGAGAAATTGATAGAAAAAAAATTGCAGTTGTTACGCTCCAACTTTAGCAATGGCCCCAATGGGCAGTCCCAACTTTACGTGGGAATGTCCCAACTGTAGTAACATGTACATGATCCCAACTACAGTTGGGACAATGCTGAAGTTGGGGCGTAACATTTTTAATGGGTTGTGTAGCTTTGACTCAAAATTGCATGCCTCAGGAAAAATTACAGAAATATATAACAATTTTCTCTCACAGGCTGTGCTGAGAGTCTGAAGGCCCTGCTAACAGATCCTGATGGTACCGTGCGACACAAAGCAACAGAGGTCTTGTACATCATTGCAGGTAAATATATCCGAGGTTTAATGTGTATGGATGCAGTGCAGGAAATGTCTACAGGGCATTTGCACCTCAAATCTTTGCCAAGCAAGGCCTTCTTGTCAGTTTCCTCTTTGAAGCCTCCTCCGTCCCCCCCTCCGTCCCCATCGCAGCCCTTTGCCATCACCCATTTTTAAACCCTTGGGTTATCGTTACTGTGGCTGATGTCTCCTTGTCTCTTGTGCACTTGGGCTGATTCCCCTCTTTGCCATTTCATTTCACCCCCCTCATCTAGTGCTCTCCGACAGTCACGTCTTTGACTGTTACGCCCTTGTTTATATTTAACCCCCTTTGTATAGATTTCTCCACTGCTGGCACCCCTTGGGCTGGCTCTCCGGTTGAAATCTGTTGACTCCATAAGAATTACTAGATGATTACTGGTTTGTTCATAGTTTAATGGGTTCTAAAAAACAGTACCAGTCGGAGACAAGTTAGTTCCAGTTGAAACCTGTTGAAACTAGTTGGCATTTTCAACTGGTTTCAACTGGAGTTTTTACCTGGGTCCCCCACCCCCCGGACTGTTTTCCCGCTAGCCCTGGTGGAATTAAAGTTCCCGGTATCGGTATCGTTTCGGTTTGCGGTAACACCATGTGGTAATAACTACTGCTTAGAAGATATTTAGTTCTGAAAAGAACTTGTCCTGCTTATTATCAACTTTGCTAAGTAGGTTTTTTTGTTCTGATAAGAACAGTCCTGCTGGACTCATCAGGAGACTGAAGATAGTTGGAGACGCTACTCTGCATCTCCAACTATCTTCAGTCTCCTGACGATGACTAGAGCAGGCTAGTCGAAACGTTGAGACCAAAGACAAGTTCGTTTAGAACTTACAGCAGGACTGTTCTTATCAGAACAAAAAAACTACTTAGCAAAGTTGATAATAAGCAGGACAAGTTCTTTTCAGAACTAATATCTTCTAAGCAGTAGTTATTACCACATGGTGTTACCGCAAACCGAAACGATACACGAATCATGAAAATGAAATCGTAAAGATCCAAAAAAATCTCTAAACATCTTCTGCAGGTCATAACATTGGTCGGGACGCCTTCCTCCATTACTCCATCATCATGCCCTTGTCTCGTCTCTTCAATGATGAGCTGGACGTGGTGCGACGCAACGCTCACATGGCCATGGAGATGCTGTGCCACTTCACCCCCGGGGCCGAGGGGGTGGTGGAGGCTAGCCTCATCCCTACCCTGGTGGACAAACTCAAGATTGAAGTGGATGAGATCAAGGTGAGTAGAGGTGTGATTTCTTTAGACAAAATATAATTTTTTCTAGCTTAGTCTTAACAGATCTTTAACTTGTATAATTTCTTTTACGAAAACTCCTTTTTTTTTAATTCCAGGTGTCTACAACCCTCTGAAAAAAGTATCTCTCTTAATTGTCAGCCACTACACTGGTCCTACACCCGATTTCATCAAACTCTTCGTAACTTGCGATGCATCGCAGCGCTGCGACGCGTCGTATCCCTACGATGCGTCGCAGCTGCGACGAGTCCTGCGATCCATTTCACAAAACACGTCGTAAGTGCGACGCGTCGTGTATGTATTTATAGCACAACTCGGTGACTGTTAGTCAGCGTACACTAAATAGTCGTCTGATATTCAACAAAGGGTCGTCGGGTCTCAGCTCGAAATTTGTTAAAACGTAAAACAAAATGGCGGTCGTGCGATGCAATTTTGAAGGAAAACAAGCTCTCAGTGGACCGTAAAGCTACTTTGAAATTTCAACTGCAATATTCCAGTCTAATTCATAATAATTCAATGAATTTTCTATAAATTTACCACTTTACACACATTGCCTCGGTATTATAATCTCGTTTATGTAATGTTTATGACATTAAACTGGCTAAGAAAGGGACTCTTCGTATTTTGCAATGACCACTAGACACGTCGTAACTTGCGAAGTGTTTTAAGCCGTTGTCAAGGAACTTACGACGCGTTCAACACATCGCAACTTTTGTGAAATGGGTGATACGACGCATCGCGAGTTGCGACGTGTTACACGTCGTAACTCGAGTTGCGATGCGTCGCAGCGCTTCGTGAAATCGGGTGCTGAAAGTTTAGTTTACTTGTAGCAGTGGTGAATCTAGCCAAGGTCACTCTCATTTAATAAAAGTCACACCCTTTTTATAAATGGTTTTGCCCATGTCTCCATGTTCAGGAGTACATTCTGGACACGCTCCATTTTTGCCTGGTGTTGGAGCAGATTCAGGCGCTCATCGCGGGAGCCATGGAGGTTTTCACCGACCTCCTTGATCACGAGTCTCCCGTCATCAGAGCAAAAGCTGCCAGGGACGTCATGGACTTGAGGTAAGATGTGGTTCTTATTCCAAGTATGGACAGAAACAGCTACAGTGCTGTGAGATGACCACCTACGTGAGCTCCAGTTTGTTGGACGCACTGTGCGCATTTGCTCGCGTATGGCGCAAAACACGCTCTGCTTTTTGTATTCAGATTGTCCACAAATCAGGCACAAGCAGGATTCAATTCAAGGGCCCAATTTCACAGCGCCGCTAAGCAAAAAAAATTTGCTTAGCACAAAAAAGTCTGGCTTATAAAAGCAGTTTACCAGCCAAAACTCCACGTGATTTTCATGCTATAGGCCCTATAGCAAACAACAGCTGAATACCAATCAAGAGCAATATACGTCCATGGAGTTTGGGCTGGTAACCTGCTTTTATAAGCCAGATTTGTTTGTGCTAAGCAAATTTAATTTTTTTGTGCTTAGCAGCACCGTGAAATTGGCCCCAGATCAGTTCTCCAATCAAGATGCTAAGTCAACTGAAGTCCCAGTCATGTCACAAGTCACAAATGATAAGTATTCAAGTGAGACTCCAATATGAGTTTCTAGCTCTGCCAAGTCGGAGTCAGATGGATCGAGTTTGAAACAGAGTCTGAGTAAAACTGAGATTGAGTCCAAGACTACATCAGAGTCCAACAAGTACAAGTCTGAACCTGATATGTGTAGGTTAAAGCAGACTAAAGCCCGTGTCCCAAGTCCTCAAAAACGTGACTTTGGCTGAACTAAGCCCAAGAAATTGGGGTGTTTTTTGGCCTGTTCAATAGTTTTGTGTCCATCTATTTTTTTGTCTTTAGCGTTCCTCTTGATGGCAAGAACAAGGCATGTGAGGTGAACACCCTACCCCCTCTGGTCACATTACTGGGCGATGCCAGCCCTGAGGTCAGGTCTAAGGCAGCAGGAGCCATCATGACGTAAGTTCCTTGAAAATCAAAATATTAGCTCATTGGATTGAGTGACAGATTAACCAGCAAACTAGGTGATTGACTGACGAGATGACACACTGACAACTGACCGACTAGCAAACAGACTGACCAGCTGGATGATTGATCAACTGACTGACCAACCGACAGACTGACCAACAAAGGGGCTAATCATCTGACCAACCAACAGTCTGATTGTTTGACCAACTGACCAACCAACAGACTGACTACCCAACAGACTGACCAACTAACCAACTAACATACTTACTAGCTAAATAGACTAACCATCTGACCAACCGACAGACTAACCAGCCAACAGGCTAACCAACCGACAGACTAACCAGCCAACAGGCTAACCAACTGACCAACCAACAGACTGACTAGCCAAGAGGTTTACTATCAGACCAACTGACCAACCGTCAGACTGACTAGCCAACAGGCTTTTAAACCATCTGACCAACCGACAGACTGACTAGCCAACAGACTAACCAACCGACAGACTGACTTGCCAAAAGGCTTTAACCAACTGACAGACTGACTCGCCAAGAGACTGACCAGCTAGCTTGTGCTGCCTGACTGACTGACTTAACTATAAACTACATCTCTGCATTTTATGTAAAATACTACTGATTTAAATTACATACACACCCGTTCATTTTCCATTTTTTTTTCTGTAGAATTACAATCACAACGCAAGGCAAGTACAAGGCTATCCAGGCCATGGCTATCCCCAAGCTAGTCAACCTAGTCAATGATAAGACCAGCGAGGTACGACTCAACGCTATCAAGGCAATCACTACGCTGTCTGAGGCACCCGAGGGACGGAAAGCATTGCTGGAAAATGTCTCCACGGTAAGTCAGCAACATGAACCTGTAAACACTACTCAGTCCAAATCAAATTTATACTCAAATCAACGAGTGATTGTGAGAAAAAAAAATCACTTGGGTGGGACTTGAACCCACAACCTTCTGTTTACTATACCAGCACAGACGTCTTACCACTCAACCGCCGAGCTTGCCCGGCTCGGCTGGCTGTTACGAATCAGATATAGCTGCAGGTACTGCAATGAAACAATTCACAAAAACTAACTTGGTGAAGTTTCACCCCAGTGGATACCATACATATTGAGAAAATAGAGAAAACATATGCAAAATTCTTTGGGACTTGCAACTGGATTTCATTGCTAATGCACATTTTTAAAAATGTGCCATCAGACACACTTTTTATTTGAGGCCTGACAAATTTAACACCCCCGAGTGGATCTCATGAAACTAAAATAAATAAATTCAAACACCACTAATTTTCTTCCCGAGTAGTCTTTTTCACCTCTCATTAAAGTTTGATAAAAAAGAGAAAACTAATACTTTTAAATATCCAAACAAAGAAACAATATAAATTTTAAAGTATGCAGATAAAATATTTGGTCTGTTCTTTAAAATAACACTAAAAATTTCAGTCGAATCAAACATGTACATAAAATCTGTTCATCTCAATAAAATGTTATCGATTTCAGATATCTCAATAAATTACTATGTTTTTAAAGAAACGTCTATACATACTGCTTCTTTGCATGCAGCAGTTTTGAAGCTGCTTTGGAAAACAGTTCAGAAAACCTGAGTTCAATTGTTATTCTGACTGAAAAACCTGGATAGTTTAAAACCCAAAGGGATGATCTTTCTCTTTCTTTTTCATAAATTTAGAAAATATTGTTAAATTTTAAGAGATTTTGCTATTAAAGCTTACAACCGTAATGTTACAAACCTATCAGCGATCTAAGCCTTTGGAGAGAAAGGGTGAGATCCTTTTGACATTTTAAAGTTTCATTTGAATAACTGGTGTCAATGTTTAAGTGAATTTTTTTTTAATTTGGTGATGCAGATTGAGAAGCACTTGGAGGACGATTCGCCGGCTGTCGTCAAAGCTGCCCAGATAGCTGTCAAGGTCATAACATGGAAACCCTAACCTAAAATACATCTAGTTCGCTTATTCCAAACAATATCCAACATGTTTGGGTCCACTGCAAAAGACCGTTATCATGTTGCGGCCATCTTGATTTTCATCCCATTCAAATCGACGCAACCAAAGCGAGGCTGAAAGGAAAAATAGTCTGGTTCCTTTTTGCACAAAAACATTATCATGAAGTACTGTTAGTGGATACAGGGAACATGACTGAAATGGTGGCAGCATGATAAAGGCGTATAGTCTCCAAGAATACTGAGTATGCACATAAACATGAGTTGTTGAATAATGTATTGTCCAACTGCTATAATTTAAAACAAAGTACAATGGTTATTGTCAACTATGTACTTTAGCTGTATTTTCTTGCTCCACATGTACATGTACAATGTACATACTCAGTGTCCTACGTTCTACATACACAATATTTGCTTTGCACTCTTGAGTCCCCAATAGATGCTATATAGAACAATATTTGTGACGCCAAATTGACTGTGACTTAATTGTAACATCAACTTGAGTGCGAATTTGTGGAGCAGGCATTTGTTAAAAGCCACTCAAAATGGGACATCACAATAATAAGTCTATACATACTTAATAGACTCAAAGAATTAGGCTGTTTTGAAATAAAATATTTACACGTTCATCTGCTTTTGATGCAGGAAGTTGCAATTCCCAATGGTCAAGGCCTGTATTTCAAAACCTGCCCCACAGTATCCCACTGTTAGCATGCGAGTCAAATGTTCTTCACATTTTGCTTCCGAAAAAATAACGAAAGAAAAGCCTTATTTTCACATATTTATATTAATTAGGCCTGTGTAGTTTCTGTGAGTATATTTTTTCGTAAGATTTTGCTTGATTGAGACAAATCGTGTTTATGAATCCTTCAAATTGAATTGAATACAATGTACCTAAAATTAAAAACTTGCGAAATGAAGCCTTATTTTCTTTGACAAGTGCCTGAAATGCAGTTGTTCTTTTTAAGATGGCTTAACTTAACTTTTGTAAATATTAGTATACCCAAGTGGACTTGAAACTGTAAATAAACTACTACCTAACTTTGATAATCATGAATAAAATTTTGAGAAAATTAGCCGAGTGTGAATACTGTTTTACTTAATTGGCAAATAGAGGTTCAACATTTTTTTTTAGTGCTTTTATTTGAACTATGTTGTTTCAGATCAAAAGTAATTTACGCCATTTGTTAAAAGACATACAAAGGCACCTAAAAAAGAACGGGTTTTTACAGGTAGTGCAGTTCTTATTAATGATATTGGCAAGAAAAAAACTTTTTAAAAACCTCTCATACCAGAATATACAAAATTTTGTTTAAAATTGTGATAGTGCTCGTTATGGATAATGCATACACTAAACCTTTTTGATAAGAATATGTCACCTTTTTTTGAAATTAGTACATCCTTTGCGGGTATAGCTTGGGTGGGCTGGGCGATTCCATTCTGGGCTTCTGTAGGGGTGACATGTATGTTGGGTACCAGATGGGGGAATTATTGTCAGAATCTGTGCCCCTCTGAAGTTGGCCGTTCCTTTTGCGCCACGATTGCACATTTTCAGGCCTCACATCCTGTGATCTGAGTTCCTCCTGGATAAAGAGTTCATCAGCTAACGGGTCGTTTGATTGGGCCATCAAGCTGTAGTCGTCATGGAAACGATGGGTGGGGATATGGTAGGACCTGTCGTCGTGGAGGTAGCTTGACCCGTGGATTTGGTCCTGTGGGTCGGAGTGGCCGAATTGGAAGACAGAGTCTTGGGGATGAGGTTGAGATGACAGAGGTCGGTGGGAGGTATTAATCTGATCCAGAATGTCTCTGGTGGAGTGTTCGACAAGCTGTAAGATAAAGAAAAAATCAATAAGAAATTCTCTCGTGAACAAGATTACCACATACATTTGTAAACTATAACTCACATGAAAGTTTGAAATTACGGTCAGTATGTGGGAGAAATCACAAATGTATAAAAATTAAGCTATTGACCTCGTACATAACTCTGTCTTTGGTGGTGGGAATGTGAAACATATCTTTCACTCATCATGCAAAGTTGCTACAAGATTGTGTAAATGTAAGTTGAAAATATGTCAAGCTGACGATATGCAGCACTTGCAAGTGCTAACCATATTATCTTTTATCAAAATACTGGCTTTCGTGGTACCGTTACAGCTCCTGCATCGAGTCTACTACATGCATTGCATTGTCATATCTCTTACGTGGTACACTCTTCGCTGGCCATTGTCCCAATGCTGTTGACTACCAGCAATCTCATCGGCTAGTCTCTCCTCAGCCGTTCCTTTCATCGACTTGCGGATCTCCTCAGCCCTCCTCAGAAGCTCCATCCCATCGGTGATGGTGTGCAGCGCCCTCTTGTGGTGGTCAGGCATTGAGGTCATCGAGGAGGCAAAATTGGTTGACATGGCCTCCTATAAGGATTGAAACCAACACTTTTTTGTGAGTTCGTCTCAAATTCACATTTCTACTTTGAGAAAAATTTAAGACGTCAAATCTGTTTTCACTTAACAATTGAACTGGAGGATGAACTGGTCTTAGATGCTTGCCTGTTGGTGCATGAGATGCCTCAGATCCAAACCCTCACTCTCCTGAGAAAGAGAATAAACTGCATCGCCTGGGTGTGGCTCAGGGTGTGGCACAGGGTGTGGTTCTGGGTGTGGCCTATGGCATGATCTTGGCTGAGCTCCACCCTCCTGGTGACCATGAGTTAAGGAATACACTGCATTTCCAGGGTGCGGTTCTGGGTTCAGTCCCGGGCGTGGTGCTAGGCGTGGTACTGGGTGTGGTCCCTGGTTTGATTCCGGGTGTGGTCCAGATTCATGGTGGCTTTGAGGAATGTAAGTCTCGGACACTTCATGGGGTGGGGTGTCATCTATTAACTGATGAGTACGTGATTTCTGGTTTTGTCCTGTCGAGGAAAATAATCCCGTGAAAAATCAGGTTGAAATATGTTATTAGGACATCATTACGGAAACTTTTTCTGAATTTATAATCCACTAAAACTTACTGCATCTTCACAGCTGAATGAAGACACCTTCTTTAAGACACTAGACTTGATCTTAAGCTGAAAACCAGTGAGTTTTCAGAGTTCTTGCACTTACCTGTGGGGTGCTGTGGTCCAATGGTTACGGTGTTCGACTCGTGTGCCGTGGTACATGGGTTCGAATTCTGACCGTGGGAACATGGTGCTTGTGCTCTTGAGCAAGGCACTTTACCATTATTGCTTCGTCCTTCGGATGGGACGTAAAGCCGTAGGTCCCGTGTGTTGTGTAATGCACGTTAAAGAACCCAGTAACACTTATCGCTAAGAGAAGGGTTTGCCCCGGTGTTTCTGGCAGTGGCTGCAATATGTGCCACAGCACCTTGTACACCCTTATAAGGTGCTACATAATGGGTCTCATATCTCTCATAAACTTGATTTACCTTTCTTTAATAATAGACATATCTCCAGCGCCTTGAGTACCTAATTGTTGGTAGATACGTGCGTTACATAAGACTCCGATATTATTATTATTACCTTTATTTCTAGCCAGAAGGGCATCTATTCCCGACACATGAGAGGTAGGCCTGCCGCGGTCACAGCCTTCACTGACCCTGTGGCAGTAACAAAAGCAGCATACACAACACATACACAATTATACTTTGTTCATCTGATCAGCATGTAAACAGTAAATAAAAAAAATTAACGTTTAGGCCAAAAAAAAAATTCGGTCTCTGGTCAGACCAAACTTCCGGAATTGACGCGGCCACGTGACTTTTTTTTTTTTTCCCTTTTTTTTTTTTTTCTTCAAGCTTGGACTGTACAGACAAGGTGGGGTACTATTTTGCTTTTTTGGTGTCCTCATGTACATTGGTGTCCTCCATAATTTGCCTTGGTGCTTTCGATCATTTGCCTTGGTGCAATTTCCCATTCCTTGGTGCTCTTTGGTAAAAAAGAAATTGAGGTGCGGAAATAGAGGGCGCTGTTGGAGCTACCGCAGAACATTTTGGGGGAAAAAAAGATCGACGCGCATGATTAAAATCAACGCGCGCGCTGACCAGAGATCGACTATTTTTTTTTTTGGCCTTACATGCTCTTTGAGTATATGGTGCTAGCAAGAACTTGATTAGCCTGCTAGATTTTTTGTAATCAAGTTCTTTGTCAATAACTGGTGAAAAGACAGGGAGAAATTTGATTGCAATGCAGGCATGGTTCTAAATGACCATGGGCGTCGCGAGGGGGGGGGGGGCCCAAGGGGGTGCTTGCCCCCCCCATCAAAAAAAAAGAGGGGGAAAAAAGAAAAGAAAAAAAAAAGGAAAAAGAGGTGCGAAGCCATATTGCTGGGGGGGGGGGGTAGGTCTAATGCTCCTATGCTCTCGCTCAGAAAAATGATAAATTGAGAATATAATGAAAAAGTTGAGAAATTTTGGGGAAAACTTTGCTTTGCCCCTCCCCTGGAAAAAATCCTGGCGACGCCCATGTAAATGACAGATAGTTGAGTACATCACCTCCCCAGAAAACTCCTCTTTTTATGAAACGGGCCAAAGTAGCAACGTCAAGGAAGAAACAAAAAGTCTTACCTGTTTTGCTTCATAAGTTTAAGCAAATCCTCTTGGACTTCCTTAAAATAATCTGCACATACAAAATGAGAGAAATTTAATAGGCTATATATGTGTATAAAAAATAGTTTTAAAACACTGGCATGGCAATTAGAATTAAAAAAAAACCTAAAAGAAAAACAAAAACACGGTTGTCTCACCTCGATCAGGAAATATCGTCCTAACATCCAAGCTTGCCATTAGGTTTGTGGCAATCTCTACATATGGTGGATCCTGCAAAGTATAATGGGAATATTTGATTTGGCTGTAATTTTCAGAAATGGATGGATTTGGGGGGTTAGTAGTTCACAGCAAATATTGTCACACTGACTTGTTTGACGTTTTCAATTCAATTGAATTCAATTTATTATTAACCATCATGATTAAAAACATGAAATTTAAAAACCCAATTTTGGGTTTGTAGATGCCGGAAAAACCAAGAAAAACAATCATGTTCTCCTTGTCTGGTTCCTTGACGCCACTTAAGATGAAATGGAGCAATTTATAGACGTCGGGGAATTGTAAGGTCAGGGGATCAGTCTAGCTGGCTTGTACCTGTTAAGAGGTGTGTAATCGATTGCAAAGAAAATGCGGAAAAAAATGAAAAAAACCAGGTTTTTTTTTCCAACAGTGGTTGGCCGACCAGCATTGGAAACTGATTCAAATTAAAATACAACTTTTCTTGAAAATGTCAGCACACCAGGTGACATGTGTTGACAGGATGCTTTAGACTGTCATTCACTAGCAGTCCAGGAAGTATGTATGCAAATGTTGTTAATTCCCTTTAAGGAACTACTGAATATTAAAATAACTTTACTTTTTTAGAAAATGGATGAATTCCTGGTTTAAAACTGAAAAAATATATATTCAATAATTTAGACATTGTGGCAATTTGGAGTTGTTCCAAAAATATTTTCAATAAGCTAGAGTTGCATAAGGGTAAAAAAAGGAAATAAGGTATCACTTAGAAAAATCTAATTTCTTTAACTTTTAAAAACTTCACTTTGTATAATGAATATAAAGTAACGAATCGGCGGGTTAAAATACCTTGGGCAATTCTTTGGTGGCTGTCTCTGACACAAGATCTTCATTGGCAAATGAGCTGCGAGACCTAAATCAAGCCAAATTGAAAATTTGGATTTACACTGAAATATAATTTAGCACGGGAAAGCAAATACCAATGTCAACACAGGCCAAACATATTCCCCTGCTTAAACAGTTATAGCTAAAAAAACCCTGGTTTTTAACCCTTTGTTTAAAGTAAAGGGGATAACACTGACAAAATGGGTAACGTTCTGCCAACATACAGGGCTGGATAGCTCAGTTGGTAGATGGCGCAGATAAAAATCCCACTCCACTTAATTGTTTTGTTCACTGAAACAATTCTTTTGTGATTATGTTGTAGTAAGATACAGGCTAACTATTTCAAATTCAGTCTAATTTGAGAAATTTTTTTTTACTTGCACCGCCCAACTATATGGGTGTTCTTCCCCCGAGATATCTACCTTGTTGCTGATGTCACAGATGGCGCGTGGCAACTTCTTTTCTCTGTGCTAAATGCTGGGGTGCCACCCCTATCAAACAGCAGGGAGTCATAGCTGGGTGCGCAGTGCAGCGACGTTGGCGAGGAACTGCCTAGGATTTCCTTCAGGCCTTTCGCCACATCTTTCTTGACGCGGTCGGGGACGTGGATCGGAGCTGTGCAGTGTGGAATACGAAGGAGCTTAGAAACTAGACTACTGTTTAATCCAATTGCGTACTCTGCAATATAGTTTTTTTTTCGACCAATCACAGCCTTAATTAATGCCCGACATGCAGAACCTCCCAAGGTTAAACCTCATAAAACCTCGCATTCTCCCCTTACCTCGATATACTTTGTCGGATTTCTTGCCTTTGTTGTAAATTCCAACAGGTCTCTGCAGAAAATAAAAGTTGGAAAAAACAAGAAAAAAAATGTGATTAAAATCACAGGTGCAGTGTAAGTGATTCAATTTTCAGGATCTACCACAAAATGACTGTATTCATATCCATGTTCCTTCTTTTACTTATTTCTTCAACAATTTCCACTCAATTTTCTAGTTAACTTAGAAGCTTAAAGGAAATATACATCATTTGCTTTTGCTGTAATTTTCAGAAATGGATGGAATTGGGGGATTGGAAATATATAGCAAATATAGTTACACTGACTTTTTTGAGGTTTTGCGTTCGAAAATGCTATAAAAACCAAGAAAAACAATCATTTTCCTGTAGTCTGGTTCCCTGACTCCATATAAGAAGAAACAGAGCAGTTTACATACATTGGGGAAGTGTAAGGTCAGGGAACCAGTCTAGCTGGCTTGTACCCGTTCATAGGTTTGTAATCGATTGCAAACAAGTGCGATGGTAAATTGAGGCCAGTATTTGAAAAAAACAGCCAGTTTTTTCCAACGCTGATCGGCTGATCAGCATTGGAAATTGATACAAAAATACCACTTTTCTTGAAAATGACAGTATACCAAGTGCCATGATTTTACAGGATGCTTTACACTGTCATTCACTAACAGTCCTGTCCAGCAAGGTATTTCAAAATGATTTGGTAGTTTTATTTTTTGATGTTTGCAAATATTGTATTTTCCCTTTAAGTGGGATTCTATCTCGTGACATCATGACTACCGTCCCAGTGCTTAAGCAATAAGCTTGCGCCTGCATGTATGTCAGTCTTTTCAATACATCAAGGTTTTAGTTCAATTTTCAGGCATGCAACTTGGAATTAACAAAAGACAGGCCTTCATTTTTAGAAATTTGTGGAGCTCAGTTAATCGCTCTCCTGGGAAATCCGAGGAGCTCAATTTGAGCACCCAAAATTGCTCTCCTGGGAAGTCCGAGGAGCTCGATTTGCATGTTTTGTGCTCAAAGTAAAAAATGAATCCAAATATTTCCTGAAGCCTTCATATCATGCACACACACTTGCATCAGAACTGAGAAACAGATCATAAGACTAGGAAATTCTAATCTTTACAGGACTTTGTTCAGTGTTTTTCAATTTTAAATGGCAAAAGTCTGAAGTGAAAAACGAGGAAATCAGCTGATCTGAGGAAAGGCTGCATGCCTGAATTTTTAAGATAATGGTTCACATTTTTTTATTTTACTGTAAAACTTACAGTGAGCCTGCTCTGGGTTATGACAGAGAACGGTTGTGAGTCCTGCAGGGCATTGTCTATGCGGGAACGCTACAAAGTGGAAAAAAAATTATAAAACAAACTTTTAAAAATCATGTCTATTACTCCTCCGTAAATACTATCAAATTCAACATTTTGCTTGCGTGATTTTTTCCATCTCACATGAGTATCATAATTTGAGCACTGCAAAATGCGACCTGAAAATATGTGACTATGTGATGCAATTAGGCCATCAGCCTCGGTCCAAAATGTTGGCCACCGGTATCAAATGAGGGGAATAATCGTCATAGCGATTTTTGGCAAGGTATACACCTCCAGAGTTGGGAAATATGTGATGGCATTGCAGCGGTGGCAGTTTTTTGGGTGTTATCACCCTTTTTTTCAAAATGTCCATCAAAATGCTTGTTACCACTCTAGGGGCGGTATACCTTGCGCATGCGCACTATAATCATTTATGCCCTGATTTGATACTGGCCAAACCCCCAGGCTGATGGCCTAAATGGGGTCATTCTATAAATTTGGGGTCTAAAAGTGTGACGTTTTTTGTGTCCATGTTACACCTGACCTGTGTAATTTGCCATAAAAGTATCATTAAAATTGACTTCAGGCTATTTTTTATTTGTTTGGTGGGTACTTTGCTTTATACACAATCAATCTTGGAGATAAAAGGTATTTAAGAATGTGTCCTGAATTAAAAAAAATCTTATACATGTCATACAGGGTGAGTCAAAAAAAGCGGAACCCAAACCCCAAAAATTACATTTCATATTGAAAAAAATATGTAACACCAAAAATAATAATGACTGGAAAGCCAATTTCATAAGGTACTTTTAGATGAAAAAATGACTGAAATTGCTCAATCCATTCAGAAAATATCACCATTTAAACAGAATGACCCTAAAATCTCTCTCGTCCAAAAAAAATGCGATTTCAAGAATTGTCGTCGCAATTGTCTTCAAACATCACCAGCGATACAATCTCAGTTTAAACGTAAAAAAAAATATTCAACAGAACCCTTTTAAAGGCCAGTCCTTAAAAAAAAAGAGTAGATTTTATAAATCATATTGTTTGCCTAAAACCAGGGTTGTTTATAAAGATATTGTGTACTACAGTCTGACAGTTGGTGACAGTTGTTGATACAAGTATTCTGTGTCATTTTCTTCATTGTTGCAAACAGTCAAAACACCCAATGAATTGCTTTTTTTGGACGAGACAGGTTTTATAGGCTCATGGTGTTTAAATGGTGATATTCTTTGAACGGACTGAGCAATTTCAGTATATTTTTTCATCTAAAAGTAGCTTATGAAATTGGTTTTCCAGTTATTATTACTTTTGGCGCTACATGTCTTTTAAATATGAAATATATTTTATGGGGTTTGGGTTCCGCTTTTTTTGACTCACGCTGTTTATAACAGGGACACAAAAAATTGGACCCCATATTCATGGAATGACCCAATTATGTTATGCATCATGTACACGCAGTGCACTGAAGCACTTTATACAAAGGATGACATCACCAATGTACACAAAATGTACAAAAATAACCTTGGAAGTAATGGCATTTTTTTCATACTGCAATTTCGGCATTGTACTTCACAGACAAAGAGCAATCCAATCATATTAAAGGGATTCCCCATTCTAAACGGCGCTACCATTAAAATAAGCCAGCTGAGAGTGGATGTTCTTGTGGAAAAATCGCAGGACCTTTAATTAGAACATGACCTTCACGTGCATGGCTTCCTGCGATCTGTGACTCGATTGGTGAAATCCAGTAACTGGTGCATTTTCCTCGTCAAAGCAGACTAAGTTAAAAATATTTTGAAATTGTCATTTATGCCATTTTGATTTGCTTACTTTATTACACATAACTCCATAATGCCCATATCTCAGAAATGTTGTATTTTTGGGGGGGAAGAGACAATATTTATGCATTGCCTATCTAAATATCTTTAAAAAAAAAGAAGGTTATTCTTGTAACAAGATTGGCATTTCGGGGGCTGTGAGCAAGCAAACAACTCTAACACTTACATTTTAAAATGGATAACATTTTCCACCAAATCAGAAAGGCCAACTTACTGAGGATATTTCCCTGGCTCTTTTGATGTGTTTCCTAAATTCCGTTCTCTCATGGGGATCCACCTTTTTTGAGTACAGAAGAAAATTAAAAAAATGCAAGAATAGAACACAAATATTGCAATAAAGCTTCTAAATGTCAAAAGTGTTTGAGAATGACAACCTTAAAGGGAAAAATCATACTTTGCTTTTGCTGTAATTTGCAGAAATGGATGCATTTGGGGGTTAGGATTTTATAGCAAATATTGTTAACCTGACTTGTTTGAAGTTTTGTGTTAGTAGATACTGGAAAAACTAAGAGAAGCAATCATGTTCTCGTAGTCTGGTTCCCTGATCCAACTTGAGATGAAACGGAGCAATTTATAAACGTCGGGGAATTGTAAGGTCAGGGAACCAATCTAGCTGGCTTGTACCCGTTCATAGGTCTGTAATCTATTGCAAACACAATGCGGACTAACTCATTATGGTAAATTGGGGGCAGTATTTGAGATAAGCCAGTTTTTTTCCAACGCTGGTCGGTGGACCAGCGTTGGAAATTGATACAAAATTACCGCTTTTCTTGACAATGTCAGCACACCAGGTGCTATGATTTTACAGGATGATTTAGACTGTCATTCACTAACAGTCCAGTATGGTATTTCATAATAAATTTGTAGTTTTGTTTTTTGATGTTTGCAAATGTTGTACATTGTATATTCCCTTTAAATCAATTTTTTTTTTTTTAGAAATTGAATCGTTAACTTTCCTTTTTTTTTTTTTGGTTAAGTACATGGGTTTGAATCCTGATGGGGAACATGGTACTTGTGCGCTTGGGCAAGGCACTTTACTATGATTGCCTCTCTCCACCCAGGTGTAATAAATGGGTACCTGGTAGGGAGAAATTCCTTGAATGCTTGAGCGTCGTAACGGCAGCTGTGGTAAAGCCAGGGTAATAATAGAGCGCTGTGACGGACATGAGTGCTATATACAAGAAGCCATTATTATTATTATGATTAATTGACTAGCTTTTCAATGGGAAAATTAAAAACACCAACAAACCCCCCCCCAAAAAAATACAAAAACAAAACAAGACCACCCCCCAAATAAAATGGCTGATTTAAGTAGCATATTACATAAGTATGAGAAAGTGGTTGTGTTAGTTCTAATCCCAATTTTTGTCTGCTCTAGTTACCTTTACTCAACATGGGACCTTATGTTGTAAAACAGGTAACTTTTCCAGAGAAAAAAACTCGAAATTTTCAAATTTTTAAAGTACTGACCTGCTGCTGTTTCTGGTGTGTCCTGCGGTTCCTCTCAGCCCTGGATTTTCGCCTCTTCTCCTTCTGATAGTTGGTTTTGTGGCTTGCAGTGCGCAGCTGATGGCAATCTTTCCTTGTTTCTTCCTCCAGGGCTTTTGCTGCCTCCTTGCGCTTTTTGTTGTCTTTCTTTGGCTTTTGTTTCTCCGGCGTGCAAGTCCCGTCACTAATCATCACGTCGTCATCGCTGTCGTACAGCTTGTACTTGTGGAAGGTTTCCGTGGCTGTTTTTACTGTAAGAGTTCAAAAGGTCAGGGGTCATTATCCCTAACATTCCCAGACCTCTCAAAATCCATCAGATTTGGGGGAATTTGACAGGACTTCAGAAAAAGATGGAGTGTCATTGCCGAGCGGTTAAGAGCACTGGACTCAAGCTCTGGTGTTTCTGATCAGCAGAGTGTGGGTTCGAGTCCCGGTCTTGACACTTGTGTCCTTAAGCAAGACACTTAACCATTATTGCTTTGTCCTTCGGATGGGACGTAAACCGTAGGTCCCGTGCGTTGTATAATGCATGTAAAAGAACCCAGTAACACTTATCGCTAGGAGAAGGGGCTCGCTCCGGTGTTTCTGGCAGTGCGTTTATCCACATACATATGAGAGTGCACTTTCAAGGAAGGAAGGAAGGTACATTACAGCTGAGCCACTATTACATTACATACAGATTGATCCTTGACAGTAACAGTACTAAGAATAAGAAATGGTTTCCTGGAACTGTGGAGGATTGTGAATATCTGTGTTTCAGTAAGTGTATATCTTTGGGAAATTTGAGTCCAGTGCTCAACCATTAAAAAAACCTAGACAGATTTGAAGTGGGGCAGGTTTGAGATTGTTAGGGTGAACGAAAACATTGGTTGAAAAAGCTCATGCTGTCACACTCTTGACCTATATGTACGTCTTTATATTTATGGGATTTTTCAAATTTTTTTTGCTCAAATAACAAATGGTTTATTTGTGACATGTCAGGTATAACAAACATAAAACTTTATCTGTTACCTCCTCCTGTTTTTGAAATGGTGGGAGTCTTACGCCCAACGAGAATAGCTGGTCCACCGCACGGAGAGCTTGTCATTGCTTTAAACACTGACAATCCAATAAAAAAGGGGGAAATTGAATACCGCAGTAAGTAAAAGCAATGACGATACCGTCCAAACATCAATTTTTTGTTAAAGGATACCAGAGTGAAGGTGGGGGGGGGGGGGGGGGGGGATATGTTGCATGCCCTGAAGACGTTTATACAACACAAAATGTTGATTTAACAATTTTGTATTTTAATACTTGGTTTTTGAACTATACCATGGAATTTTATAAGCATGTATATTGATGTATCTGAGAATAACGGTTAATTTCAGTGGGTATTTGGTGAAACCTAATTTTCATGAATTTGTCAAAAACAGAGTTATGCTCCATCTGAATAAAGTTTGCACTGAGGCAATGCAAATGTTTGACCCTACATTCAACGTACTGAAATTTTATATTTTAAGCAATAAATATATCTGAAAATAACATTTAATAATCAGTGTGTATGTGATGAGTTGAAGCCTTACCTTTCAAAATGGCTTCTCTAACCTGAGCAGGGTCTCGAGTTTTATCCATCCTTTCATAGTTGCAGTTGTTTCCTGCTTAATTTTGTAATCACACACGTTACAAAATCTGTGAAATAGTGACAAATAATATGAGAGAAAAAAATCTCAATGCAACAGTCTGATCGAATTAACTGAAATGGGTGGAGCTGGTTTTGTCACCCCATGTGATGTTGACAGAATTCCCAGTCCCACTAAATTTTCACAAATGAAATTAACAATCATTTTGTGTGGCTTTTCCTTGTTTTTGAAAGCAACGATAATAAAATGGTCATTAAGTGAAACTAAATTGGAAGTCCATGTAAATTTCCAATAAATTTCAGGGGTATAGCGTGCATGACAATTATTTCATGCAGTTTTCTAGTTTAGCCGGTTTAATTATCATCTCAGGCTTCTCGCCATTGCACAACACACATTATCATGCAGACGCAGTGCATGATTTGCGTGCTAACGCAAAAGGACTTTAAAAACAAACTTCGTATACGAAGAATAAACTTCCTGTATCTGTTTCGGTATTAATATAGACATGTGAAAGCACGTAATCAAAACAAAATACTTTTAGCAATTGTAAGACACTGAAATAACTGAGATTATGCTCACTAGATGTTGTGAAAGTTCCTCCGAAAACGTCTTCTGCTGCTAAAGTTCGCGGCCATCTTGAACCGTGACGTCACAAGAACAGAACAAACCATTCTTTCTACGGGGAAAGTTTTCGAGAGGCGGGGCATAAAAACGATAATGGAGCTTTCCGTTCACTCGATTGGTCCAAAGTAATGTATATAATTTGCATGTAGCCAATAATTGCAAGGAGCTGTGCTGAAAGCAGGTTAATAGCGTGCACTCTGGAAAAAAAAAATATTGTAGAAATATCGAGTTCCGTGTATTTTTCGATAACCCAACAGGGCGATAGTGGATGGATCAACAAGTGAATAGTCTTCTACGTTACCAACCTAGTTTTTCTTAAATCAGTTATGGGGACGCATCTCTTTAAGAATCCCCCCACCCGAAAAAAAATGACCTGAAAAGTTTTGTCTCAAGTTAACTGTGACGCCAGTAACTAAGCCAGTGGGAAAAAAACATCTGTATGCTCACAAAATTGTTTTGAAAAAGGCGATTAATCTAAAAATGTTGAAAAACAAACAAACATCCCTAAAGCAAATTACAGGTCGTCACAAATAACCTTTGCGACATTCTAGCTGGTTACACAGAGTGAGTCAGTTTTCATGGTTCAAATATTGTAAGCATTCTGTACCGGGAAATAACACATAGGAAAGGTCGTGCCATCTAATAATAACAACTGTATTTCCTTATTGCATGCTTCAATGAGAGTTTCGAATGGTGCTCATAATTCGCATGTAAACATTACAGACGGGAGGGAACAAAAGAGGTTATGGAACCGAACTCGTGTTCAATCCTTCGAGGACGCAAGGCCACTTCCTGGTCGACTACTGTCTTGTGTAGAAGTCTCGGCGTTATCATTTTATACTGACATCTTGCTTCGATAAAGAACTCTGTAATGTTTGTTTCTTGTTTCTCTGTCAATTGTCTCTGAAAAAGTCCTTGCTAAGGATGAAAAAGTACACAAGTTAAATATTTTGATTTATGTTTAAAATTTGTGAAATTTAATTCAGTATGTGCGGCTCCTCTCTATGTAATCATTCTTATATAATGAGTTGTATTCAAAGTGATTGAGCGCATGCAACCCAGACCAATTCCCATGCGCTTTTTGCTGGTTTCAAAAAGGCCAGCCTATGGCCGAATTAAAAACACAGTTTTGTTTGGTCCCCGAAAAAAAATGGGTCCAAACATTTTCTACCCCCCAATTTTTTTTGGGGGGGGGGGGGGGGGGCATGGACCCCGTTGCCCCCCGGATCCACCGACCGTTGTACAGTCCTTTTTTTTGGGGGGGGGGGGGGTTGACTATTTTGACGTTGGTGCAGCGCATTTACACCCCTGTAATACTACTCGAAAATAGGCCTCATGCATAATTATTACCACGGTCAAATCGTGGGACTAAAAAACCAAATCCCCCCCCCAAAAAAAACCTCTTGAGGGAGGGGAGCTGGGGATGGGGGGGGGGGGGGGGGGGGGGGGGCTCAAGCTCACCGAGGCCCCCGCCACCCTTGGGTGCGCTACTGCCCATGTACCTCCAGTGAACACCCATTCGGAATAAATTGAAAAGAAATTCGTGCACTCGTGGACCAGCTTTAAAAACCTTGCTTTATCTTGTTTCCACGGAGGGCATCACTGTTTGACCAAGTACAAATCACCTTTAAACCTTATTCAGCTGAGGCCAGAAAATTCGTTTTGCTCTTTGCAAACTACAAACAAATTCGGAGAAATTGAAGCTGCAATCTCCATCGCGATTCTCAAGGGACGAGTCGAAATTTATACATGCACTGTCATTTTGTGAAATTGAAAAAAAAGCTTGGCATTTTGGTTTCCTGTATAACACTTGCTAAGAAAGACAAAAAATGGTTAAAATTTAAAGCCTGAATGAAGGACTCAAGACAAAACTTTTAAAAGACCTTTCGGCGTACAGCTTCATTAATATGGTCCTGAATAATAATGGAAAAAAAATCAAGCAAAATGGAATAACCTTGGGGAATTGCAGGCTCCAATAATATATGTAGTACGGTTCATTTTGTGTATATACACGGCGGAATTATACCACAAAACACAAGTCGATAATAACACTGCAATTTCACGGCTGTTTCTTGTATCGGTAAAAACAAAACATAATTGCCCCAGGCGTGTAATAGGCACTTATTCATATTTTTTTATCAACAATGAAATAGCTTCAGATTAAAAAAGAAGGGACGGAAACAACACGTGGCATCATCGAAACAAAATACTTTCTTGACTGTCACTCATGAAACAGCCGTTTAGGTCTCCGGCAGATTTTGGCTTAATTATCAACAGATGCGCATTAACATAATAACCCTTAACTCACTTACTATTTCTCCTATACAATGGTACGTGAACCAGTTTTGGATGAACCGCACTTCAGCGTATTTGCAAGCACTGCATTTTGTATTTACAGCTGCAGTCTCTTAAATCAAGCTTAAACTAGTTAAATATTCACAGACCTCAAACTCACAAACAACACCAAAAAAATACTAGTTTCATTTTGCTGGTATTCCGGTGTGCAATATTTGGATGCATATTATGTCAAGAATATTTTGAAGGTGAAACACAATTTAAAATTTGAAACATTTTAGACCCTGATATTTTTAATTGGAAATTCGGGAGACTTTCGGCCATTTTTTTTTAAATTGGCTAAGACGACACAGGGAAAGTATTCATATTCGGAGTAAATGTATTTTGTTCCGTTGAAAACAAACTAAAATTGTCTACAAAATACAAAATGGGCCCAGTCATGGCATTTCGGCAAAAAAAAATCTTTCTTTTTTTGGTAATTGGCCACTTGTTTTTAATCGAGCAACTAAATGTAACTTGCAATCGACATTCCAAGAACTTGCACTTCGTCAACTCGTCACTATACAGTGTTGTAATTATTGCGTTCTTAATTGGCGCTGTATCCCTGGCCCAACCGATAAACGAAGCCCATTTGGAATCATCTTTTATTATCAGGATACTCATTATGACCATTCGCTGTCCTCGTTAATTTATTAATGCATGTGAACAGCTGTCTGAAGGACACTCCGACGTTGTCTGGAGACAAGACTAGTGCAAACACTAAACACAAATAGGCCGCATTGAACCTGGCACTTACGAGCACGACACTGAACGTCAATAAGTAACCGAGTCATATGCAGGTTTTAAGCCGATCGAAATTTAAAAGTTCAACGAACATTTACGTAGTCTTCATTCGTTACGTCGATTATGTATTTTCCCCGTCTTCTGTGTGGCTTTTCCGAAACAAAAATGCAGCTGATACGTTGTGGCCTCAGTTATGGAAACCTGTGTCCTTTTTGTTGGTGTTTACATCAGAACAATAACAACCAACCAATAACAACAAAACACAAAATGAATTTAACAAAAAGGTTATTATCGCACAGAACAAAATAAAAGCAGTAGGCCTTTTAACAATTTAGAATTTAGAAAGACGATTATCAGAATTCGACTGGTAACCAGATTTAATTTAATGTTTAATTTTAAATCATAATTAACAGGCACATACATTTCGACAAATTTAACATTTCGAACTAAAATGCTTATTTCCTCAGTTTAATAATAATAAACAAAATATACAATGTAAGTCATATTTTTGCTATAAAAATACACCGCATTAAATGCTTATGGGTCTTAAACAATGAACTGCTTTTAACATTTACATCATTCTTAATTAAACAAAGACGATTCGATATTTTACTTAACAAAACAAATCTACATGCCTGATGAAATTTACCTCATACCGCATCACGTAGCAAGATATGTGACAGAGGGACCCCCCTCCTTTGTGTTCGTCATTGTGTTACCAGGATATCAGGAATTCGGTTGAGATAACTGGGGGGTGCTAGGAAGAAAATAGTCTGGGGTGTATAGGGTGTAGTAGAGACATGGGGGGGGGGTAACCCTGTCACATATCGTGGTCATACCAGGGAAGGGATTGAGGCAATGGATAATCTAGCACACGTTTACCTCCTTACAAATGGACCGATCCAGTAAGCCCCGCCCACTGCGCACTGGGCAAATTAACACGCGCTCCTCTGCCACACTGCATTGTCCTGCCGCGCGCATCATACGCGCGCGTAAACGCATGTCGGACTTTTGTGCACGCACGTCGGACATTAATCACGGCTGTGATTGGTCAGAACACAATGGGGCGGTGCTTACAGGATCGGTCCATTCACCTACCTGCAAGCAGTTAGCACAACAAAGAACACGCTTAATCCTACAAGGCAGAATGCCAGCTCAAACAAAATAATATTGACCAATAGGAATATCCATGCACGCGCGATCACTGATCTCCACGTAAAAAAGGGTCTGGATAACACATTGGCAATTACAGCTGTCCGCTGGTTCCCAATCCCTCCATTTGAATGCTGTACGGAAACCAGCTAAATACCCTCCAATCGTGTAATGAAATGTCTTAAAATATTATCAAACAATGTTCATTTTAAATTTGGTGTGAAATAATTCTGGCAAAAAATAATGTTTTCATATAAAAAATAATTCAGTCACGACTGTAAACATGGAACTTAAATTAAAATATATTTTTTCCCACACAATTCTACTTTGAACAGCAAATGGGCAAACCAGATTTTTTTAACATGGAGATAAAAAACCAAAATATGGCGACTGCTTGCTCCACATTGCGCATGCGCCAGATTGCGTTCGTCATGGTATGCATATAGTAGGACATACGTGCATTTTGAGAAGTTTCAGTCCAATTTTATTTTAAAATACACACGAAACCAAAACTGTCAGTTTGTCACACACACCATTCATAGTCCTTACAATCATTTTGAGAAAAAAAAACCAGTCATTAAAAAAGTACTTCCTTTTTGCTCTCATACAGAAAAATAAATACAAGTACTAGTAATTTCAAAGAATGATCACATAAGGCCGTTATCATATTATTAAGGCCCACATTCGGTTTAGATTTTGAACGTTCTCTGTACAAATTTTTGGTAGGCTTTCGGTTATTATTAAAATAGAAAATGCTGGAAATATATATATAATGAATTGCATTTCTGTTTCAAAATAACCCTTTTGTAAAATAAAATAATA